CAGGCTCTGATGGCTGCAGAAGCCCCCGTGCAAGCACCTGGTGCCCGTCATCCCAGTAGGTGTGCTTTTTTTTTTTTTTTAATTGTTGTACTTTAAGTGAAAGTTTACAGTTCAAGTCAGTCTCTCATACAAAAATTTATACATACGTTGTTATGTGACCCTAGTTGCGCTCTCTGTATTGTGACAGCACACTCCTTTCCACCCCTGATTTCCCGTGTCCATTAAACCAGCTCCTGTCTCTTTCTGCCTTCTCATCTCACCTCCGGACAGAAGCTGCCCATTTAGTCTCATGTATCTACTTGAGCTAAGAAGCACACTCTTCACGAGTATCATTTTATGTCCCATAGTCCAGTCTAACCTTTGTCTGAAGAGTTGGCCTCAGGAATGGTTTTTAGTTCTGAGTTGACAGAGAGTCTGGGGGCCATACTTTCTGGGGTTCCTCCAGTCTCAGTCAGACCTTTAAGTCTGGTCTTTTTACTAGTATTTGAATCCTGCATCCCACTTTTCTCCTGCTCCAACAGGGACTCTCTGTTGTGTTCCCTGTCAGGGCGGTCATTGGTGGTAGCCGGGCACCATCTAGTTCTTCTGGTCTCAGGCTGATGGAGTCTGTAGTTTATGTGGCCCTTTCTGTCTCTTGGGCTAATACTCTCCTTGTGTCTCTGGTGGTCTTCATTTTCCTTTACTCCAGGTGGTTGGGCCCAATTGATGCATCTTAGATGGCTGCTTGCTTGCTTTTAAGACCCCAGACACGACTCACCAAAGTGAGATGCAGAACATTTCTTAATAAACTTTATCATGCCAGTTGACCTCGATGTCCCCTGAAAGCATGGTCCTCAGACCGCCGCCCCTGCTACTCTGCCCCTCAAAGTGTTTGGTATCAGTAGGAGCACTTTTAACTGCTTAATGACGCAGACCTTCTCACTGGAAGAGACTCCGTGTCTCCAGCTGTTCCCTCAGTGAACTCGTGGCTCAGAGGGTGGCTCTGAGAGCGTTCATGAGCTTTTGACCCCTCATTCGAATGGAACACTTTAGGATTTGATTCTCCCCATTGGGGAGAAATGAACAGCTAACTCTGGCACTGGGTGGTTCCGAGCAGCGCGGTGCTGGGCAGTCTGACCCGGGCTTGGAGCCTCGCTGTGCACTGTGTGACCTGGAGGAAGTGGCTTACCCTCTAGAGGCTCCGCCCCCTCACCTGGGCTGTGTGGTGAGGCCCCAAGGGTAGAGAGGCCCAAGTCAGACAGCTTCTGACTGGCCTGCATGCAAAGGCCGCCCCTGGAGGAGGCGAGAGAAGCTGCTCACAGGTCTGCCTCTGGGGAGGGGCAGCCAGGCATCTAGAACAGGAGGAGTGTCCTCTCTGATTTTTTACTGGGTGCACATCTCTTTCGTTGTTTAAGAAGATATATTGTCAAACATAACACACACACCAAAGTCCAAGCCGGCTGCAGTTGGGTCAGTTTTGACTCGTGGTGACCCAGTGTGTGTCAGAGTAGAGCTGTGCTCTGTAGGGTTTTCAGTGTCTGTGATCTTTTGGAAGTAGACTACCAGGTCTCTCTTCCAAGGTGCTTCTGGGTGGATTCGAACTGCAAGCCTTTCAGTTAGTAACCATTTGTACCACCCAGAGACTGTCCCGCACCGGAGTGTGATAACGTATGGATGTAATGAAGTGAGCATTCTCACGCTAACCACCTCACCTCAGAAACAGCATACTACCGGTGTCTTTAAAACAAAACTCCAAACCAGTTGCCGTTGATTCCTCTTCTAGTACTTTTTCAGATAAAACTAGTTGTTAACTTAAAGCTTAGTAAATTTTTCAGAAACACGATTAAAGTACCAGAGTGCCTGGTGTGCGCTCGGTGATGCTGGTTGAATCTTAGGACAGCCTGCTGCAGGCGGCATGTGATGTACACCCTTAGCTCTGCCTCTGCCAGGTTATTCCTGGAAGCCCTAGAAGAATGTTTTCGCCCTGCCCCGCGCCACGTGGACCTCGAAGAGCACTGTCTCAGGGAGCTTTTTAGCAATATTCCAGATAAAGCCAAGAGACAGCCCCTGTCTCCTGGAGCTTTCCTGTCAGCGAATCTTCTGGCCCACAGTGCTTTCTCAGGCCCTGCAGGTTTAAGTGAAGGCCGGTCGTGGTTGCTGGCAGAGCTGATGCACAGACAAGCCTCTTGGCGGCCGGTGATCATCCGGGCTGGACGCGTGGGCCCAAACAGATGGTCTGGAGACGGAAGCGTGACAGATGGCTCTGAGGGCAGCTTGGTGGGTGACCTGAAGCTGGACCGAGCACAGGAGTCTTGTCTGGGCCCCGCCAGCATCTCTGGTGAAGTCTGTCCCTGAGGCAGGGCGTGCTGAGTGTCAGAGGCCCACGGCCTCGTGTATCTGGTCTGGTTCTCCAACGTGGGAGGCCATGCCCTCTGCCCAGACTTCATGCTGCCAGTTTCTGACGGTTTGACTCTGCTTTGTTGGGTTCGGGTCCCCTGCCCAGATTCTTGGACGTTCATCCGTCCACCTCACTCTGAGGTCCCGGACCAGTGTTTCCTGAGTGCAGGGCTTGGGCCACGTGCGTGGGGGTCATCTAGGCTGTTTGTTAAAGTCTAGATTGCCAGGCCCTGCTCCAGACCATAGCTCAGAATCTCTGGGGCTTGGGCTCATGCTTACAGCCAGCGCCCCAGGTGAATCTGATGCTCATGAACACCCGTAACCACCACACACAGCCTTTCAGCCTGAGATCAAGATACGGGAAGGGAACCTAAGGCCTGAGTCTTGCCAGTCCTTTCCAGATTGGTGTAAATCATTTGGTGACCCATGGCCTAAACGAGGAAGAGCCTGTCAGTGACTGGAATAGAGGAGGAAGTTAAGGCCCGTTTCCGCCTTTGTATTAAGGCTCAGAAAACGTTATCACAGCCTGGTTTCTTTTTCGATCAGCCTTTATTCTCTCTGTGTGCTTCTGGGAGCCATGCCAATTTGCGTGGCTGTTGAAGGATTGACAGCGTTTGTCTAGTTGAAATTTTTTAAAAATCAGAATGGAATTAAAGTGCTGGAAGGAAATATGGTTCTCTGTGTCTGGTGCGTGGCTGCGGTTCTGGGCCTCCCTCCGTCACAACCCTGGGAACTCCGCGAACACTGGGCCTCCTGTTTCTGTGGCTTCCTTTTCCCTGGTTTACTCCATCATTTTGGTAGAGTGTGCGTCCCACAATGGCTTTGTCCTCATCTCAGAAGTTACTTGGTTCTGTCCATTTCTGAGCCTTTTGGGCTTTTGTAGTGTGAATCTTGTTGCCTCTCAGTTTTTCCCATTGCTGGCCTGTCTTTCAGCTCTATCTGGTGTGCTACGTCAGTTCTACTTTCCTCTTTGCTTTTTCAGTTCCCAGAATTTTGTTTTGCCCCTCCTTTCCTTGTGTGGGTTTATGCCTTTAAAAAAAACTCTGTGGTTTTGGTAGGGTTCAGGGGACGAGCAAAAATAAATGTGAAAGTCAACTGGACTAAACCAAAAGCTAAGAAGTTTCCTGAATACAGCCAAACACTTTGAGGGACAGAGTAGCAGGGGCGGGGGTCTGGGGACCATGGTTTCAAGAGACATCTAGGTCAATTGGCATAACGCAGTTTATTAAGAAAATGTTCTGCATCTCACTTTGGTGAGTGGCATCTGGGGTCTTAAAAGCTAGCAAGTGGTCATCTAAGATGCATCAGTTGGTCCCAACCACCTGGAGTAAAGGAGAATGAAGAACACCAAAGACACAAGGAAAGTACTAGCCCACGAGACAGAAAGGGCCGCATAAACCAGAGACTGCATCAGCCTGAGACCAGAAGAACTAGATGGTGCCTGGCTACCACCAATGACCGCCCTGACAAGGAACACAACAGAGAGTCCCTGATGGAGCAGGAGAAAGGTGGGGTGCAGAACTTAAATTCTAGTAAAAAGATCAGACTTAATGGTCTGAGACTGGAGGGATCCTGGAAGACATGGCCCCTGGACTTTCTGTTAGCCCAGAACTGAAACCATTCCCGAAACCAACTCTTCAGACAAAGATTAGACTGGACTGTAAGACATAAAATGATACTTGTGAAGATAGCACGTCTTAGCTCAAGTAGACACATGAGACTAAATGAGCAGCTCCTGTCCAGAGGTGAGATGAGAAGGCAGAGAGGGTCAGGAGCTGGTTGAATGGACACGGGAAATCTGAGCTAGAAAGGAGGAGTGTGCTGTCACAGTATAGGGAGAGCAACTAGGGTCACATAGCAATGTGTGTATAAATTTTTGTATGAGAAACTGACTTGAGCTGTAAACTTTCACTTGAAGCACCATAATAAAAAAAAGCGAGTACAGCCTACCATCTTTCCTAGTTCATTTAGTGCTCTCTCGCAGTCACACGTTTCTGTAAATTGCTCCGACTTCTTTTTAGAACAAACAGGGAATGAATGAGTGACTTGTCTTGGTCAGGGTTCTCTAGAGAAACAGGGCCAGTAGGAGAGATATATCTATCTTATGGGAGGCCCACCCACATGCTGGAGGGGAATCTGCTTCAGGCCAGCTGATGCAGTCACATGTCAGTATTTCATAGCGACATCGAGACTCGAGTTGGACCCAAGAACCGGACACTGTAGCCTAGCCAAGTTGTCACAGAAAATGCCCCATCACATAACTGAGTGGAGAACCGACATTAGTCGACCTTGGGGCTCAGCCTTTCTGGCTGTCTTAGCTCCAAAGTCAATGGTCTTTTCCTTCCAGCCCAAAGCATGCTTCAGCAGAATGAGTTAGCATGCCCAGTTAATTGTCAGGGTGGTGGGAGAGCGTGGCAGCTGCAAGGTGGACTCCTCCACCTCAGTGAACTTTGTTGGAAAGAGAAGAGGGCGTGAGGCTTGTGGGACCAGTGGCCGAGCCTCCTGGCTGCTGCTGGGGAGGTTGTTCCACCTCTGCTGAAGGCTGGGAAGGAGCAGGGACAAACCCCTTCCCGGGTGGAGACTGCTGTACCCAGAGTTAGTGGATTTGGTTCTCCCCGCCACAGACTTCTGCATGAATCCCCAGACGGTGCTGCTCCTGCGAGTCATTGCCGCCTTCTGCTTCCTGGGCATCCTCTGTAGCCTGTCTGCGTTCCTTCTGGATGTCTTTGGGCCCAAGCATCCAGCCCTGAAGATCACCCGTCGCTATGCCTTTGCCCACATCCTCACAGGTAACACGGGGCTGCTCACAGTGGGGAAGGAACGGGCGTAGGGCGGGCACATGCTGCGTGGAGGTGCAGATGGGGACGGGGGGGTTTCTATGAGCAGACACCGTTCCAGGTGCCCATTTCAGCTCTCGCTTTTCACAGCATCTGGGCGTGTGGGCCGCTCGCTTCAGTGAGTGCATGTCCACTCGCCAGGACCCCAAACCCACTTAGCCCAGCTGCAGAGAGGTGATATTGTTAGACTACCACAAGGAATTCACGGCTGTCTAAAAACTGGATTTCAAGCTCAAGTGGGTGCATGGGGCCTGGTGCCAGCAGGGAAGGAGCCAGGGTGTTTCCTTGCGTGTCCCAGAGCGCACGGCCTCAGCAGGTTCTCACCCTCCTCCACCTTCCCGTGCTCTGCAGACCGGCCTCTCTGGGGCTGCTGGTCTGTTTGACTGGTAGTGGTGTCAGCTCCAGCTCCCAGACTGCACGCCATGTCTGTCCCTCTCAAGCCCACAGTGGCATCCAGCAGCGTCAGTCACTCAGTATCCCAATTGTAAATTGCTAAGAAAGAGAGAATCTGACCCAGGTAGAGTAAGGCATCTGTGCCCAGTCCCAGCCCAAGAATCCCACGACCAAGCGAGCTCCCCTTTGTGGGTCTGGGGCCAGGCCAGTTCTCTAAGAAGGGGGTTTGGGGACAGAGGCTGTGATGGGTTCCTTGAGCATCCTGGCGTCAGGTGCCCGCTGACTGCCTTCCGTGCCGTCCTCTGTCCCCCAGTCCTGCAGTGTGCCACTGTCATCGGCTTTTCCTACTGGGCTTCCGAGCTCATCCTGGCCCAGCAGCAGCAGCACAAGAAGTTCCACGGCTCCCAGGTCTACGTCACCTTTGCCGTTAGCTTCTACCTGGTGGCAGGAGCTGGTGGGGCCTCCATCCTGGCCACAGCAGCCAACCTGCTGCGCCACTACCCTACGGAGGAGGAGGAGCAGGCGCTGGAGCTGCTGTCTGAGATGGAGGAGAACGAGCCCTACCCGGTGGAGTACGAGGTCATCAACCAGTTCCAGCCGCCCCCGGCCTACACACCCTAATGCCAGCTGCTGGGGTTCTTCCTCAGCTCTTCCCCCGACTGCAGCTCCGTTCACACCCAGGGGAGATCCTTTGCCCCCAGGCCTCACTGGTAGCACCCCGAGCATCTTCTCCCGACCTCCCCCAGGAGAGACTGCCTGCTCTTGAAACCTGGGGTGCATGGATTTGATGTGATGCAGTGTCTCCCCACCTGCACTTTCCTCTCCCTCACGCTCAGTAGTCACTACCAACCAGGGATGGTCATACAGCTTTCTCCCTTCATGGACCATATCTTTGGGACTGGAACTCCTTGGGGACTGCTGACGGTGCACAGTCCCAGACAAAAGTGTCAGTGGGGCCCCAGGGAAAGGGGGCTGTGCCCTCCAGGCTGGCTTCAGAAGGTCAGTGTTTCTCCCACGGCCGTCGTTCTGGGCTGGCCACCCTGCTCCTTCTCGGAGTGCCCCAGAACCAGGCCACCCACTCCGTGGAGTTCTCTGCACTTTAGTCTTTGGACTTGATGTCACGTGTGTGCTTGTTTTACGGGGAGGACGAATTGCTGTTGGGAAGAGGGCCGTTGCTCTCCCCATCCTGCCCTGCTTTGTGTGGCTGGAGCCCTGGCAGGGAGAGCAGGACGTGGCGTGAGACTGAAGCCTCCTGGTGCCTACCAGGGTCAGAGTGAAGGGTGTAAATCTCCCAGCCCTTTCACCCTTTAAGATGGGGGTGGTTTTAAATGGAAAAAACAATACCAAGCTGCAGGAACAATACTCTCTTTTTGAAATAGGGACAAGGCAGTTGTCATTTTCCAGAAATTTCTCCCATTCCTTTTGGCTCTGCAATACTTTGGGCCTGAATTCCTTCCAAGCCTGAGCCTCTCCCAGCAGAATGCAGCCCTCGCCCCTCCCCCTTCCTCCCCAGTGCCTGCGGCTCCCTGTGGGGCTTCCCTGTGGGGCTTCCCTGTGGGACCCGGAGCCCCACTGCCCCCGAGGGGCTGAGGATGGTGTGGCCTGGCCGGCTGGCCAGCGCGGTGCTCCTCAGGACTGCAGCACTGAGATGTAACCTGGCCTCAGTTGCACAACGGCCCACAGTGTGGCGGGAAAAACCACCACTCTCCACATGGGAACCATGCCCGTGGGACCCCATTGCCTGAGGCTTCAGAGCTGCCCGGTCAGTCTGCGCTTGGGCTCAGCATGACCCCGAGTGTAACCTGGGGCTACAGCTTGCTGCATGCCCCCCCCCCTTCTCGAATGTACTCTGGTCTTGCTGTGTGCTACTGGCCCTTTCTTGCCCAGCCGTCACTCTGGTGACCCACACTTGGCTCGGGGTCTGACCGGATTCTCTGCCCTGAGATCTGGGGCATAAAGTGGGTGAAACATGAGAGACTTTCCGTGTGGGTTCAGAGGGCCAAGCTGCCCTTGGTCAGTTACTGGCTTTGGAGTCAGCGTCCAGTGCTGAGCTAAAAGGAGACAGATCCCAGCCTCTCCCCACCCCTGAGGCCGTGAGATAGCAAGACTGGAGGATGGACACTACTGTCATGTCATTTCAATGTCATGTCATTCCAATGTCCCTGTCTTCAGCCAGATTGACAGCGGGCGTCTGGACAGACACGCTGTGTGGGTCGTGGGGACCACGTTCTCACATGAGTGAGTGGCTACCCAGAGTTCACTGCTGTGATGCCAAAGTGTGTCCCAAGTGACTGTCACCCTCTCCAAGACCTTCTTCTCCTCGGCAAGAAAGACCGCCGTGTGATACCTGAGCACAAAGCCCAGGAGCGTATCAGGCTTGTCTTCTGTTAAGTCCCGAGCTTGTCACAGGTTTCTGACGTGCGGCCAGCTCTCTCTGTGGGTGTCTGAATGGACAGGCCAGGAGGCTGGGCACTGAACCCGCATGCCAATGTGACAGATTGTCTCCTGAGGACCTGGATGCGACCCCGTGGGCTGTCGCACGTGATTCGGAGCCCACTTTTTATCAGTGTCCCACGCCCCGGCCTTTCTCTTTCTCCCCGCCGTCCAGACTCAGATAGTTTGTCGTATAAATTCCCTGGTTGTGTTGTTTTTTTCTTTTTTTTCTAGAAAATAATTAAAAAACAAAACAAAAAAGCAAACTACAAATAAGAATGTAAATGTCAGTGGCTCTGTGATTTTTCTGTCACAGTTTTCCTAATTTGGTTTATTCTTTCCTCATGGAGAGCAGGGGAAATTGATGAGGCTTGTGCTTAATAAAAAGAAAGGAAGGAGTTGCACGCGCCCCTCCACACAAGGCCCTGTCACCTGCCTGATCCCACTAATCTGACAGCCTCAGATTCCACAGCCACGGCCCCACGGTTAGGAACTGTCTGTGGATGACCGCCGCCCAAGTCCTTGTCCTCAGACCCTGAACTCCTCTCTGTACCCCCTGGTTAGCTGCAGAAGAGAGCGCTGCTTCTGAACGCCAGCCATTGTGCGGGAAGAAGTACGCCTCTTCAGGGCTGGCCTCGCTGAAGAAACTGCGCCTTCTTTTGAAACCACAGGGATGGTACTTACCGGGAGAAGCGTGCGAGTGGAAGAGTTCCATGTGTGTGACTTGTAGAAAAGCTCTTCAGGGTCAGTGCCAGGCCTCGGGGGTTACCGCATTCTCTGCACTCCTAGCACGTTCAGCCCATACACTGAGCCCCACATGTCGGTCAGGGTACAACCTTAGGGCTCCCTTTGGTTAGCAGCCCATTTAGGTGCTCTTTTTTATTATTATTATTATTATTCCTGGAAAGAGTACACATCTTTCTTGAGAGCTGGGGATGTGTTCTCATTTCAGTTCATTTCAGACATTTGTAAAGGATCCCCTGGTCTGTGTAGAAAGAACTCTTAGGCATTGTGAGAGAAACATGTCCGGCGGGGGCCCTGTCTCCAAGGACGTTCTTAGTTGAGTTGTAGATTTGACACGTGGCTCCATGAAGAGGCAGGATGAGGTGAGTGGTCTGCCGGACATCCGGGGCACGTGCTGTGGGCTCTCACCTGAGTGATCTGAAAGGCTTTACGAGGTGGGGTTGGAGGTGGCGTGGCAGGGGGAATAGCGAGAGCAGAAACGACTGGTGGTTGGTGAGGAGAGCCCGCCTAAGGCGCTTGCGGTTACAGAAGCGGTAGGGAGCTCGGGGAGGATTTTGAGAAGGGAAGGGAGGGACCCAGCTTTATTTAACGATGGGACAACATCAGGAAGGGTCTGAAAACGTGTTGGCCTAGAGGGGTTCGAGGAGCAGCTCACACAACAACGGCACAGGCTGTAAAGGGCAGCGAGGAGAGGACCTTGGGGATAGAGGAAGAGTGGTTTCTTCTGGGAGGAGGGCGGTTTTCTTCAGAAAACTAGAGACTCTTCAGCTGATATCTCACCCACAGATGTCCACACTCAGCCACTAATTAAATGGGACACAGGTTCTGTGGGAAGACACAAAGGAACTAATAAATTTTATGATCCTTGTTTTCAAATAACTGAGAATCTTTATTTCTCTCCGTGCATTTTTTTTTTTTTTTTTAATGGTGGGGGGAGTGGCATTTTAATGAGGCAGGAGTGTGTGGCAGAAAGAAGACACCTCCTGTGAATGAGTCTACTTGAAGTGAAGGTATCCAGTTAAGGGACACAGGTTTGAGAATTAAGACATCAGTTCCTCACTGAGCTGTGGGGGAAGTGAGGGTAAAATTTCCTTAGTAAAGATTTCACTGGTCTCTTAGAACTGAAGGATATATATTGGACTGGCTTGCCCCCTCAGCTGAGTGGGAAAAAACACGGTGAGTGGTGAGAGGCTTCATAAGATGTTTGGGGAGACAGACCCGTCAGCTTAACCATGTGTCAAAGGAGACAGCTATGGTTCCAAATCTTGTTTAAGGGACTGTCCAGGTCTCTCAGAATGGGGCCCTGAGGCCCCTGCAGGAAGCCCTGTTTGGAAGGTTCCTTGTCCTTACTTCCCCTCTGTAGCAAAAATGGCAAGTGACTCTGTAAAGAACCTTCTCAGGGGTGAGGTCTGGCCACACCATGTAGCCCAGATCCCAACCCTTGGTGTAACCTACCTCTAGAGGTTCTCTCCCCTAGGTTTCTACTGCTACCAATAGGAGTGTTTCCTTCTGGATAACCTCAGGGTGGTGGATAGGTTTTGTTTTAATGAGGGGAATGGTGTCCCTATTCATTTCTTCCCCACCCATTTGCCTCAGCACCCTTGTGCTCTAACAGAGGGGTGAGGGAAATTTGCACAGGTGTACACACACACACAATTTCTATTATGTTGACAAGGCTTATGTCTTATTTTTTACATTTTAAGTTAATTAGGGGCAAACGCTCGTGCTTTTTTATGCAACATTCACTCACCAAATATACTGAACACAGTGTGCTCTGTGGAGGCTGCAAAGCCATTAACAGATAAGGTCCTTGTCCTCAAATACCTTCCAATCCAGCCACCAGGAAAAGGAAACCTGACAAGGCTGAATCTGGCAATGCCGGAAGGGTCACCCTTCTGAGGCTGTAATGGTCAAGGAAGGGTTAATGAAGGAGGAGAGACTTGATCTGGGCCTTCCTTGCAAAATGGGTAAATTTTGGGAGAATGATGTAATCAATGGTGTGAAAGCAGGTGAGGGAAACACCAAGCTGGTGTTTTGAGCAGTGGTGATACCCACTGGAAGGGAACGGCAAGTAATTATGAGGGTGGACCCAGCCCATGAGGGCTAGAACGCTAAGGTTGTTGTCAGAACACTTAGCAAGCTGCAGAACTCAAGCTGTCTTAACTAAATGGGATTTATTGGTTCTCATAACTAAGAAGTTCACAGTAGTCCAGGGACTTGGCTGGATCCAGGAATTCCAACGACGACACGATTTCTCCATCTCTGCTTGGCTTGTCCTCTCAGGCAGTCTCTCTCCAGAAGTGTGAAGCTGCCCCAGGCTCACAGAACCACTTTATTTAAGGTACTGGAATGACTCTCTCTTGCCCAACTTAGATCATGCCCCTTTCGCTGAATTGTGGCCAAGGACATGGAGCTTCATCCTATGGCCCAGGATGAGAATGGTTAAGTTGCAGTTGAGGATTTCAGAGATGGCACCACTGATGGAGTTCCTGGGTGGCACACATGGTTAAGTGCTCGACTAATAGCCAAAAGGTTGGCGGTTCAAACCCGCCCAAAGGCACCTCAGAAGACAAGCCTTGTGATATGCTTCTGAAAGGTCACAGCCTTGAACACCCTCTGGAGTATTTCTACCCTGCACACATGGGATCACCGTGAGTTGGAATTGACTCAGTGGCAACTAATAACAATAACACAACCACCAGTGGTGATTGGGATATGTAAGCACGAGGGCAAGGCCTGCACCAGAGATCCTTGTTGGAAGGACACTACACAATGGAGCTGAATCCCCCATAATCTTTCCCCCAGCACCCCCTTTTCTGTGATAGTAAGACATGAGGCTATTGACCAGCTCTGCTTCCTCACAGAAGTTCTGTGTATCCTATCTTTGAACGGAGCTGGACCTTGAAATCAGACTCATCCGCTTTCATACAGTAAGCAAAAACAGCCTTGAATACACTGGCCCTGATCGTAGGCATTGTTTCTCCTGCTTCTCTCCTACCTGTGCCCATCCAGGTTTTGACATTCCTCATATTTTTCTTTTCCACTCTGAGCTCAACACTTTACTTGAGGAGTGTTTGGCACTCACAAGGACACAGATTGCATACATCCTAGTTGCTAGTCCCGTGATCCCAGTTCCACTCCCATATCTCCATCCTGAAGTCAGCCCGATA